TTGCAACGAACCATTCGCATTCGTTGTTTCGTCGTAAGCAAAACGCGCAGAATATATCGTCGAAACGTGTAATCGTAATTAGTAAACGATATTTGCTCGTTCTATGTATAATAGTAAGGTATGTGCACACTTCTAACTTCAATTGTACGATTATAAAGCAGCATTTACGATTATTTTCTAAGCTGTGTTTATAATAATATTCGTAGATTACCCTTCAAAGATATGGATGCAAACACAGTGCACCGTTAGATGCAAGATTTGTTCTCACTTTTTTTTTTTTTATTAATGTTCTAATAAAAATGTTCAATCGTTCAATGGGGAACGTTTTATTTCAAAGTATCTTCTATTTATCGGTTATATTCAAAATGCTCTAACTGTCAATTTTCATACAATTTTTACAATTGTAAGAAGTTTAAGCTCCGGTCACCAACGACCACCGTGGCGTCACAGGAGAAACCGTGGTCGGTCATATGCGACCAACGTGGCAGTCAAAGTTGTAATATTGGTTTGTTCTTTTATCATTTTAATGAGTCGATTACAATTATTTTTCCTTTTTTCTTTCATATCTCAATGCTAGCAGTAGATTGGGTTCGTTGCTAAGGACCAAATTATCTATGCCTTTTTATTAACAGCATATAGTTGAACGAAATTGATTATTTAATGAAACTGATAATTTAATGAAATTATACGAAAGTTCCTGCCTGACGCGCTTTCGAGACTATCGTCTTCATTGTGAAAGCTTTTTCGACGATTTCTTTCATCCTCGTTCTATGGCGAGACGATCAAACCCTTCACCGAGTCTTTTGTTCCACGTACGAAAGAGCGCGGTCAACTTCTCTGAAAGAGATCGTCCACGTCTCCTTCTCTTCCTCTTTGAATATTCACCTGTTAATGAAAAACCAGTCAGCTGTCTGCCAAGAATTCTCTGTTTTCCTGACGTCCGCGGTAATTAATGATCGAACCTCCGAGATATTATTCGCGGCATTATTCTCGGCGATTCCACTTCGTCTCTCTCTTCCCTTTGCTTCGCCTCGATGATGATAGTTGGTCGTTTAATTGGAAAATTCATAAAATAGGAGAAGCTCGGAGAATGAGAAATTTGGGGAAACAGCAAAACTCGAGGCAACTAAATAGAATATCGAACGAAAAATTCTGAGGCCCATAGAAAGACTACGACGATTCTCAAGCGTTGGAAATTGTAAGGAATTTTTAAAAATCGCGAAGCTTGGTAAGATAGAAGCTTGTGAAATTTTGAAAAATTTTGTTAATTCGATCCAAAGTATACTTTTATTGCGAATTCCCATCGACTGCACAATTGCCCAAGTAGTTGGGAATTTTCCTCTGTTAAGGGGACTACGAGATTGTCAAAGTGGTGGAAATAGTGATCGGAAATGCGCGTCGCTGTTGTCGGAATATCATGAATTTTCGCGCTGTTTAACAACCATTTTTCGTCGAGTCTCTTTGTGCGTCGACAGATCGTCGATAAGTACATCGAGCATTGCTCAACTGAAAATAGAAAAGGGGAAATATTTTTAGCGTCGATACGAATTGATGACGTTCGAGCCGCTATTTACGTGTATTATAGGTATCACGTTTGTTCTCGTAGCTCGTATCGTATCTGTTCTTTGAAATCATTTACCAATAAATAATCCATCCGAGAGAATCATTCGATAGATACCTATGCAGAATATTTCATTTATTCCAGTCGAACCTTTTTCTTATGTTCTATGACCTACAACAACAAACAGGAATATACTTTTCTAAAATGTTAGAACGAAAATAAAACATAGAAGAAATAGAGTTTAATATATATGAACTGAAACAACGATACAAGAAATTATTTGTACTCACAAAGCATCTTTTATTGCTCGTATTCATAAAGTATTTTAACAAAGTTTAACAAAGCTAGAAAAAAAAAAAAAAAAAAAACACGAGACGCACCCGACAAAGGTCCATTTATCCGAATTTTCCCCGTTAGCTATAGTTTTTCGTTAACACAGCAATAACCCACATTCGGATAACAGTGAAACTTGAATCGCAGTTAATCTAGCGAGGCTTTAACTATAAAATTTTGTTGAAATAAATGGTGTTGCGTTAAGTACAGGTTTTAACACGTTGCAAGTATATATTTATTATCCACGCTCATGTGTATCCTGAAAAATAAATATATTACGTGGCGTATTACATATATTACATTATAACGAGCGAGGTCCGGGTTAGGTTCGTGCGGGTCAATTGTCGCGCGTGTCGTACATGCCATTTAATAATAACGTATAATTAGCGAGCAATCGTGGCGGAAATGTTTACGGCCATTATAACGAAATGCACGTGACTAAAACGTCGGAATGATCGTATATTCGTTAATTTCGAGTTAGTACCTAGACCCTTCGTTATTATGCATTATCAAATTCGTACCAATTATACCTTTGTAATTGCGTATTAAAATTGGATTACGCGCGAAACATTGGAGAAGAACGAGCTTTTCAGAACAACTGGGTCACAGACGTGACGTTGACGCGAGAAATTCTATTTCCTATCGGAATTTGTATTGTTAATTTTTAACGTTTGTGTCTGTAGGATATAGCGCACTCGCGACCGTAAGTAACATCGCGTAACGTACTTCAGTACGTTGCCTAAAACAGAAACTTTAAAACAATATGACGCGATTGTTCGCTCAATTGATTCTACTATTCGTGTTACAGTCAAAGAATTTTCTCCTTTTTCAAGTGCAACGCCTCTGGTTAGAACGGCTTTCGTAATACGGTTGAAAGTCAATGAGATTGTGAATTAAAGTGAATATATAGCGATACTTGGCATCGCTTGCGATATTTCACCTACTTCGACAGAGATTAAACGAAGGCTAGCGAATACTCAAAGCGACCCTAATTCACGTTTTCGATGCTTATATTTTCTGTCTGCTTCCTGTTAATTCGCTCAGCGACGCACTTGGTCGTCTAGGTTTTATTCCGATCGATTATCGCCAGATTCGTTCAACTCTTTTTCATTTATTCGCTTAATATTGGCAAAATCGAATGATTAATATCTGGAATATTAACTAAGATCCTTGGCATTTAGAATAATCAGTAGTCTGCTGGATGCTCGTATATCTTATAAGTACAGTCAAATGTGAAAATAGCACAGAGTATAATCACCAGATGCTATCTTGGATTAATGATTCCTCGTCGAAACTCATCTACAAATGAATGATCGCGGATCCTTCAAGAGCGAATCGAATTAAATTGAACTGAACTAAATCTTTCTTCTGATACCTAATACTCTAAGCTATTAATTATCCTTTTCCTCGAATACTTCACGTGGATCAGCGTCTTTCTCATGCCCATTCAGTGATAGTCTCTAACGACTACTTTCTTTGAAATCATTCTTGACAATTATTTGATTACTATAGGGATTATTGATTAATTTAGGGATTCTCTTCTGGCCCCAGGTATTTTCACGAATAATATACATCAGGTTCAATGGTGAGAGCTAATTCATTAATCTGCTGAATTTATTAGTCTCTTACTCCTCGAGTATGTCGTAGCCTAATGAGGGTGGAACTTGGGAAAAAATTGTACATTTCAGAAAACGATTCTGTCATGGTGGCGGGTTCTACAGCGAACTTCAGCAAAGGGAACGTCTTAAGTTTCTAGGGGAGGACGAAGTAAAACGAAGAAGGGTTTAAAAAGCGGTATAAGTACACCGGGACTGAGAAATTTCAGTCATAACGACGGCAAAAGAAATGGAATAATAATAATAATAATAATAAAAAAAGAACAGGAGTAATAAAAGGGGACACAATTGGTAGGTAAGAAAGAAAGAAAGCTGTTCACCTATTAACGAGAAAAGCAGTTGTAACTGATTGCCAGAAAAAGGCAGGAACGAATAGTAAAACAGGTTCGGTATAATGGCAGCAAAAGAAGACTCTGAGGTGCGATAGAAACAGCGGTGTAAAGCTACTAGAACAGGAGTTACAGAAACGGAAAGAATAGCGCAAAGATACCAAAGAAAGAGCTGCAGCGGTAAAAAAGCAGTGGAAATTCACCGCGAGAAAGAATCGCGATAATAGAAGCGCGTAAGAAACAACAACAAGCTTGTACGAATGAAAGCAGAAGAATTCTAACAACGAAGAAAATTATTTTCACACGTAGAATCATCTCCGAATCTTCGTTTGTTCAAATTTCACTTTACACGTCCACTTCACGTTTTTTTTTTTAAACTACTATTTCGACAATAAATGTTAGCCTCACCCAGACAACGTCCACACCATCGTGCGAGGAAAATTGATCCTTCGAATATTCCCCCTTAAAATTATTGAAAATTATTGAGGCTTCAGGGTTAGTTGAGGGTTAGCAACCCTTACAGTATCTTTTCTACGGTGTCAAAGAATATTCGTGGCAAATTTGGTGCGTTGGACGGTACAGAACATTTTACAGAACGTACACACATGTATACAAATGTTGACTTTTATAGATATTTGTCGACTTGCTCAAATACCTACGATATGAAGAAGCTCGATCAATGCAACACGTTACTCGTCATTATAAAATTATTGTGAATGTTTATTAACATTTATTTACTTATAATTCTCAATGAGAATTGATTGTAAAATTCATCCAAATAAATAAAGAAATGTATTAACGGTAAACACAATGGAATGATCTGGTGCCGATTACCTTCTGCTACCCAGCTGGAAATTTCATCGAATTTACAAATACTCGACAAGTTTTCGGATCCCATTGTCCCGGAAATGACACCATCCGACGTAATTTAATTATCCTTGGTTTTTTTTTGATTTTCGTTTCATTTTGAGCCGACGTATAAAAGTACTTGGTGAATCTCCCGGATGTCCTTCGCGTCACGAATTCAGAATCAGTATTTTAGGTGTATTAGGAAGTCTTGGTACGTACTAGTGGTAAATTACAAGCTAGTGTAACGGTGTTTTGTCACGATGTTTCTGTCCAGGCCAATAACGAGACGGTTAATCAGCATATTAACGCGGCGGATAATCACGAGCGGGCAAATTGTTAGTAGAAATTCGTGGCCCGTGAACGAAGATTATAATTTAGCTGGGGCAATGTAAACGCGTTCGGTATGCACGTCGCGTGTTTCAAAGCGGACATTACGCGCGAGCATTGGTTTCACGTCACGGACGATCATCGTCTAGAATAATCGACGTGATCGAACGTGATCGAACATGAAGAACTGCATGCGCGTTTTCAACGGCCAATCAAACTATTATTTAATGATTGTCCAATGGACCGTTGGAAACTCTGCATGATTCTCGATTGTACGGAATAAATAAATGAAAATTAAGCACCGGACTAGTAGAGAATGGATTCAGTTTAACAAGCATTCGAATTTGATCATTTTGATTTTCATAATGCTATTTAGGACGCGGATGATATCGATGTTTAAGCCCAGCTGATTCCATACTCCGGACGAACGATCTGTCCATTTTTTCTGTCCACTTTTCTCAACGTAGAATAACGCTACATAAAACTAACGAGATCGTTTGACATCTCATAGTTGAAATAACGACAAAGAATACTAATAATAAAATTTCTGAGATGCGGTTAATTGGAATGGTATTTTTCATTCCGATTTCGTTCTCGTTACGTATCAACGGAACCAAAAAAAAAAAAAAGCTATCGCTTACGAAACCATGCAGGGTAAAGGCGTAACTTCAATCCATTAACGACGAAACAATGGAATAATACGCAACAGTTACATAAAAGCTATATAAAGAATTGCGAAGGACGTATTAGAATAATAGAGACTTTTCAAAAGCCTGGCATTCAAACCAGAAACAAGAAAACGCTTATGATTTCTGAAAGATATAGTTTATATCATGAAATATAATTAATCCTCGAATTTACTCGAAATTTATAAAATCACACGATCCACATAGAAGAATGATTATTAGCAACTACTAATTTATTAATAACTACCAAATAATACCGAAACAATAATTACTAACGACAATGAAAATGTACATCATATTCTTAGGCTTTCTTTTCATGAACGCCATAATATCACGGTTTCACGATATAAATCAACAAAAAGAAAAAAGAAAGATATTGTGGGAATAGCGTTTGCACGAGCGATACGTCGATCCTTATGTAATCGGTTAAACGAACGTAGTATCAGCCATAAATCCACACTGAAATAAATCACATTGCATTGTAACAACCTCCAACAAGATATCCGCTCGCAACAATCACTTTCACCGGTTCTTTGATCGAACGGCAAACGTTTGAAATTAACCACAACATCGGAATAAATTGAACGCGTTGGGAGTTGCTGAGGAAATCACGGCCGTTTAAATCCCCATTGAAATCGGCGGCGATTAACCTGGCAGCCAGTGCGAAGACAGAGGTGAAACGAATAGATCTCTGTCGCGCATTTGTGTATTTTAATTTGCCTCGGCTCTGCGAGCCTCGATTATTACGAGAGCTAAATAGAGAAATATGTATATCGCGAGAATGGCGGTAATTCGGCGAATGTTCCATTCAAAAGCCGAAGAGCTGAGCAGCCATCGCGCAATTGCCAACGATAACGTCGTAATGGGAGCGCGTATCATCGTGAATTTTTGCTACATGTTCGATTAGCCAGATTTCGACTCGGTCACGCATTTATTCGTTCGTTAACGTACCTTCTGATAACCCAGATACGGTTGATATTTTTCCAGAGGAACGGCCGTAACATTCATTTTATTTGAGGTGTCAGACAACCAAAAAGAACTAGGTAATAGCGCGCGTAACATAAAGATTTAATTAACATATCTAACTCTGACTCTCGTACGATTTTCGAAGAATGGCTGTGAGATAATTTTGTTCGATCGTTGCTTCTGTTTATATCAGGCAAAGCTTAATCTAAATACAAAGTTATCGATGAAAGAATTTGCTATTCTGTTCGTTGCTATAGTCGTATAATAACATTTCTATTGTAATAAAATTATTATTATCATAATAAAATTATGGTTTAGATAATATCGATTAATTATTCTGCCCTTTATGAAGTTACTGATAGAAAATTATATCGCTAATTGGACGTTGTAGAAAGATAGTTAGATGCTGGATGACTGTTTCGTTACTTGACGAAAATATGACATTAAATTATAAAATTATAAAATTGTTAATAGAGAGCGAGATATTTATAATTGTAATTTACTGGCAGGCAAAATCGATTCAAATTCAGATAACGTCTAAAATACGTTTATCGAACTTAATGACGTGGAAATTATGAATCTGTGCAAGACAAATAAGGCGAGATATTAAAAGTAAGAATCGAAACAGCGACATATGCTTTGTCATTGAGATGGATGCTTTTTTCGAACAACCTTCTCGATATTTTCCAACGATCGTTGGTGCGTTCCATCGTGACGCAATTCTCGTCGTGGGCGCGCCGGCTAAACGAGTTTAACTTTGTTTACCGGATCGAGAGAACCAGCGAGCGAGCGTTTCGATTAAAAGTGGCACCGTGTCGTTCATTTGAAATGGCAATTGTGCTCGGCTGCCGGAAAGAGCAGTCCTTGGAGCAACACGTGCGACTTTCTAGCAAATCGACAACTTTTGGATCGTCTGAATTGCCGACAGCTAAGTTCCAACAGTGACAATCTGTAAATGTAATAACAATAAATTCGTTTCTTGTCATTCTATAAATTTCATCGAATTTATCTTGAATTTGGAGGGCAGTTTCTTTCCTTTTTTTTTTCTTTTTTTTTTATTAAACGTTAACAAAGTTCGTGAGATCGAAATACCAGGAAATGTTATAGAAATCGTTAAACTCCAAGGAGGAATTGTTACGTAATTAGTATTAATTAAGAAATATTTTAAAACAAATTTCCAAACGATACCGGTGTGTTTATTTACAAAGACTTTTTAATCGACAACTGATAGCTTTAAGAATTGAAAAGAAAAATTATTATAGAATAGAAATTATAGTAATTCGAAGTAAGAGAAAATCAGAAATTCGAATGATTTAAAAAATAATTTAAAAGATTTCCAGATTACGAAGGATTCATCGATAAAGCATCAAGAATTTACAGCCACGTTAAGGAATTTTAGACTTTCATTAAAAAAATAAAAACTCCTGTTATTCGAAAAAGGAGGATAACTATTACACGGTATATATATATAATATAGCATAGTATAGCATAGCTGCACGATGTTTTTCGAGTATATATCCGATGCTTTAAGTAATCCGAACTCTCTCGATTTATGATCATTCACGTGGAAGTATATCTGGAACGGTGCAATTACTCTTTTCCATGGTCGTAATCCTACGTCGGCAGCTTCGACAGGAAACTTACCCATCTGTTTCGGAGATTTTTTTAAAGTTGGTAATTTCTTGGGAAACTTTGCCACCATCCTGTCCTAATTTTTATCTCTTGCGTTCGTTACGTAGACTGTCTAAGAAGTTCCGCGCCTGGAGATAAATCGAGATGACCTACATTTTTGAGAAACGACGCTGCTCCTTTTAAAATATAGAGATCTCCTGGTTTTACACGTTTTTCAAGGACCCGCATAAATCGAGATCCGCCATCAAAACGAGAAAGCTACACCGTTCGCCGCAAATGTCTTGGGCTGGGAATTTATGAAGCGACTTACCTTGGGCTGAAGTTTGAACATTGCAATCCAATAACTCGTCCGATAAGAATATGTAATCTCTAAATTGGACTCTGTTCAAAGAAATCGTTCGAAGTAGATCGTATATTGTACATTAGGAGGCAAATTATATACACGTTATTCTTCTTTATATTTTTAGACGCAATTCACCATAAACATTGGAACATCTATTGGTCATTGAACGATTCTAACAAATTCTATTTTATTTAGTACTCTACGTTAGAAGTCTATGATCCACAGAAAGAGATCAACGAGATCAACGAATCTTTGTTGAGAAAAGAAAGTTTAAGAAATTGATAAAACAAAATTCTTCGGTTCTTTGGAATCTAACACCGTTCAAACATATCCCAATTACGCCTTCAAACATTAATTTTCTGATTAAAATATCAAATGTTAGTATAGCAGAATTTCTGCAATTACGAAGAGATTTTTAGCAGAAAATACTTCCGAACGCACAAACTTCGTCGATACGAGGACACACGCGCGAATTGAAAATCAGCATTTCGCTTGTCCATCCCCTAATTTGTGGCCAAAAGACAGTACAGTGCAATGGTAAAAGTAAATCGGCACGGTCAATATTTGAGGGAATTTGATTAATATCGGACAGATTGGCAGAGTTTGCTTGTTTCCTGGCTAGTTTTCGACTTTCCTTCCTCATCCTAAATCGGCCAAATATTTGACGTTCTCTCTTTTTCCACGTGACGGCCGTTTATCCCTCGTGTGGCCCCTGCGCTCCGTAGCGGCATTAATTAACGCCGATTCGCCTTTTAATTTGCCACGGCCCCTCGACAGAAATATTGCCGAGGTTTGACGGACAGTATTGACGGAATCTCGCTAGCGGCTGGCTGGCTAATCAATCAACGGCATCGACATGTTGGAATTAGTCGCGGATTTCCAGGGATTCACCAAATACTCCAACTATCGCGAAAGATTTGGTTAAGGAAGGAGATTATCGTATCGTTGTACGACAGACGTTTTTGTAGGAAATTTTAACATGTGACACGTTCTTTTGTTCTCGATCATCGAGTTTCTTAAAATATTACAAAATGAATTTGTATATTTATATACCTTAGATAATACAGTTACGATGGGATTCATAGAAGGAAGCTACTGTTGCTTAAATTTTCGAAAAAGAATTTATATATCTGGCATACATTTTAAAATATAAATTGTACAGTTATTTGCGCCTTTTAAATTTAAATCGAAAGGAAAATAAAATACTCCTTTGTCGTCGATATCTTTTGCGTTTATGCTACCACGCAATTTGTCCTTTTGAATTTCTGCACGATCACATTTAAGATGTGAATTTTATGCGTGTGCCTCGTATTTAGCATTTTGTAAAGAGTCTTTTCTTCAGCGGATAAATCTTCAGAAAATTTCTGTTCAAAATACTCGTATCTTCTTCCAAATCCTTATTTGTTCAAATTTCACTTTATACATTCACTTCCCGTTTTTTTTTAAACTACTGTTTTGACAATAAATGTTAACATCATCCAGACAGGGTCCACACCATCGTGCGAGGAAAATTGATCCTTCGAATATTCCCCCTTAAAACTATTGAAAATTATTGAGGCCTTAGGGTTGGTTGGGGGATGGCAACCCCTACAATATTTTTTCCAAGGTGTCGAAGAATATTCGTAGGAAATTCGGTGCGGATACGTTGCACGGTATAGAACCTTTTACAGAAAGTATTAGGTTGTCCGAAAAGTTCCTTTCGTTTCATAAGGTGATAACAGATGAACAACAATTTCTGTTTTATATTATTTTATTGAATCAGGTATGATCCATTTCGTTGTATTTCTATTATTACGTTCGTGCCTAATTCAATAAACTAATATAAAACAAAAAATATTGTGCGTCTGTTATTTTCTTATAAAACGAAGGAAACTTTTCGGACAAAATAATACATACGTGAATACAAATTTTGATTTTTATATTATACAGATATTTGTCGACTTTCCCAAATGCCTACGATATGAGAAGGCTAAATCAATCCAACATGTTACTCGTCATTGTAAAATTATTGGAAACATTTATTAACGGCAAACACTCTTTAGAACGTTAACACTTTACTGAGTTCAAGTAGCAGTTCAACAGCATACAGCTCAGGCACAGATTCTTCCTGGCGCCGGCTCTGTTTCGGTTTAGACTCTCCAATACCATTCTTTTCGTCCATCGCGAACGATAAGTTTTTCAAATCGGTATAAAACTGTGGCAGCTTACAAAGCAACGCAACTGAAGCATCTGAGCAAGGTATCTTAATACTAAATAACAAATTACTGTTTAAATAATAAGAAAGATTGTCGGAGACAAAAAATCAATTAATCGGCTATCGGTCGGTAAGCGTCGGGAACAAGAAACCGATTAATCGGCTATCGGTTGGTAAGCGTCGGCGACAAAAAGCCGATTAATAGGCTTCGGTAAAGTGTTAAATACCGTACGTAAAAATACGGGACGAGCACAGCGGATGAAAAACGAGGACAATAAGTAGGATGAAGGAAATAACAATTGAGAATAGTTGATTACAAGTAACAGCTGTTGGCGATGGCTCGCTTCGAGGCTGTTACAGAATCATGAAAAATATCACTTTTGTTGCAAAGCTTGTTGACCAAGATACACGTTCGGTTAATAGGACTAAATTTACCGTAAGAGGTACAGCGTTGTTGCACAAAAAGCGTAAATGGGAATCTGCAAGCTCCGCGAGGAGCGTAGATTTTAAAGAATTCGACAATTGCCGCACAATTTATGGCACCACTTAACACACATTGCGAACGAACAAGATGTCACACATGGCGCGTCTCTGCTCGAACGTTGATATATTTAAATTAGAAAGAGTAAACGTACAATTTTTTACGATTAAAAAATATGGATCAAGCCATACTCATATGTCGCTGCTACCCTTAAGAATCTACGTTGTACAACTTCGACAGCGGAATGTAAGCGATGCTGGCAATTATCGTTGAAACCTCTGCCCTTATAACGCACGAATAAAAATGAAGGGACGCGTGGATCTCGCGAAATAAAAAGTAAGATACTCGAGAACAAAAAGATATCAACCGCGTCGTGCATGCAATTTTTTCATCGTAACTTGCCACGAAGAAAGTGTCGAACAGGCATGTGCGACGATGTTCCGTTAACGAGCCGACCTCGAAGCTCGCGGACCATTAAATTCTTCGAGTTTCCACGGAGCGACTCGGTAAAACTGACAAAGCGTCATTAAATCTCCAACCTTACCCTCTTTACTTTACTTGTCGCGAGAAAACGTAATTGCGCGGACGTTGCCGAGATTCCTTGCTTGTTTCGCGGCTAATGCGGCCGCGTAAATACCAGGCTGAACGATAGGTGCCCACCGTGTAGAATGCAAGTCTACCACGATCAGGCAGGGTGAAAGAGAGTGTAAAGGGGATGTATAACGTTATTGGAACAGGCGTACACGAAGCTGCGTATGGGGTGAGTCGAAACTCTCAATGAAGTTAGGGAAAGATTCGGTAACGGAGCAGAAACAAATAGAAAATTTTGTTATTCTTTGAATTCCTTTAGAAAACTTTGAAAAATATACTTAAATTCTTTAATCCTTGCAAATAGGAAATCTCGTAATTTATTAAATAGGTAGATTTTTAAGGGTAGAAATAAACAGTAGGATTAAATTATGAAATGTACAAAATGCACGGATAAAAGAAGAATGTGGGAATAAATAAGATTTCTAGGGATGGAAGTAATTACTAATTAATAATATAATTAATAATTAAAACAATGGCTGGCAATAGATAGAAAGTTTTTCAGGATGGAAATTAATATTTCAGCAGCTAGTAAATATTGAAAGATACCAATGGATAAAATACAGTAGGTTGAATTAAATTAAAATTATGAATATAACATTGATAAATATAGAAATGAACGGAGAAAAGAGTTCAAATAAATAAGAACATTTTCAGAGATACATATAAATATTTCAGCAAATTCAAATATAATATTTCAAAGATAGGAACGAATAAAGATGTTGAAGATGGTAAAAATGAAAGGTATACTTAAATAGTTTGGTTTTCAAGAAATTTAATAAAGATTTACTTTCAGGGCAATAGAGTTTGGAAGTTAATTGTTGTACACGCGTACTTGAAATTCTATATAGTTCGGTTGTTACTAGGATTTTAATGTTTACCGAAAAGCTAATAAAATAAGTATTATGTATACATTACTAAAATAGTTTCAAAATAAACGAGTGAATTTGTGTTATTAAGTGAGGAACCTGCGCTGTACTCGTTATTATTATATTTTATCCTATAACTTATTCAACAGAGACTTACAGATTCCGCGGAAAGTTAGCTCGGGAACTTACAGTTACCTGCACTATCGATCACTCCTGCTAAATAATTAATCGATTAAATAACCAGGATAAGATAGTTATTTATTAACTATCTATTATCGGTGCATCTATGAATATTATTATGCATCTATGAATCGGTTCAATCGACATGACATACAAACATATTTGACTGGAGCTGCCATTACAAAATCTAAATAGGAAAATAAATACCACAGAGATATTTCCTCGATACTCTGAATATCCTTCGTACAAGAAGGAAAAAATCAAGGAAGAAGAGGAATACTGCGAAGTCCCGCGAAACGATGGAAAACCAATTAAACAAAGTATCGAAGGAATCACGTCAATTTCGCCGCGAGTCTGCTTTGCCGAGAAGATTGGAAAGTTAAACGAAAGACAGAAGAGCGTCGCCGAGAGTAAAAAGGGAAGTTTTCCGATAAAACGGTGAATAAGAGAAAGCCAATATAAAAAAAAGACGGAGGAAGACGAAGAAGAAATAAAAAAAGAAATAGGAGAAAACATCAAAATCCCTGACACGAGAATTTCGATCGAGCCCTGCCAATAGCACGGAAATCAGGATCCTGATGGATTGCGTTCCTGCCAGGCCCAACTTCCTCGCGTTCTCGCCCAACCGATAGAGAAGAAGTGACCCTGTCAGAAAGGGTAAGAGACCACCTTACCATCCCTGTCGATATCTTCCACTGATTCACGAGCGCACGAGGAACTACGTACATCCTGCACCATAAGTTTCTAGATACTTGATTGGTAGACAGTGGTAAATTAATTTTACCGTAAACTTAGTTACCAGATCTTCAAACTGAAGATGCTTATATCGTAAATTATACGTCGTCGTCGCAGCCTACAATCTCGAACACTTTCTTATCTCCAAGAAAAGTTGAGATAGTTGGCTCCATATTTTTTATCATTTCGTTTTGTC